GCAACTGCATAAGGTCATATGAGCGCCTAGGGGTGGGTGTCAACAGAGAAGTCTTTACAGGGAATCAGACTTAGACTGCTCACCTCTCTAGCTTCAGCAGCACAAGGTCTGCTTCGACTATCAAGGCACCCCAAAATAGCAGGTCACAAGGGAGTGACAGACATACAAATGAAGTAGAGGAAAATGACAAAAGTAAGGATCAGGAAAGAAAAAGCAGCAGTTCCATGTTGTAGATCAGGCACAGTTATGAGCGTGACATGAGTCAGCCCATTTACAATTCTACTGTGCTTAAACGAGATATGTCCCACCCTTTGGGAATGGCCTAAAGACAATTCAGTCAGTGGCACTGCCCCGGGGGGTTGTTCGTCAAAAAGGCTGTCAGTGATAGATAGGTAGATCAAGGGTAGGCCATGAAATTGTTACACTCCGGTGTGGCGAGTATGAAAATAATGCATCCATAATGACATGCAGATTATTGTGTTTATTTTTTTTTCTGTTATCTACTGTAACTCCCATCTTCTTCGTGTTGCTTTCGACTGAAATGTTAATCAAACCCTTTTGCCCTTTCGGAAGCCGTAAGCAAATGTCATTTTCATCAGTTCCCCTTCTTTTACTGATCTCTTGTACTTTTAAGTGAGACCGAGACTTCAAAGGTAATCTCAAGGGAGGTGTTGTTTTAACATTCACATCATCAGTGAACGTAGACGCATTGTGTCCAGTGTGTTTCAATCACTGCTCCGTGGCATTTCTATCTTCTGTTTTTTGTTGGGGTTTTTTGCAACAGAAATGAAACACTATAATAAAAGTATTCTTTGAATCTATTCTAGAATCCAAATGTAAAGCCAGTTTATGGTTTGGCTCATGCTTCCTTGCTTGTTTGTTTGTTGTTGGATTTTTATTTTTTTTTTTTTTTTTTTGGAGGGGGGAGGGGGTCGTTGTTGTTTTTCTGATGGGACAAGTGTTATGAACAAAGATAGAAATGTATCTCTCGTCTCCAGCCACATCAAAGAATCACGTTTCTCCCTGCTTAGTGGCTGTCAAATGCAACAGTAGACGCTACACTTTCTAGAAAAAGCCACATTGTTAAATAGCATGTTATTCTTGTTACATTTATGAGGTGGGTATCCTATTTTAGACAAAAGTATTCATGAGTGAGTGACTTACAAAGAAGCATTATTACTGAAACTAGATAACAGACTGAGCTGTCATACTAGATCAGGATTGGGGGCCTCTATTTCCGTTTTAACATGTTGTTGTCAGTATCCTTTCACAATCGCTCAAAGCAGTTTTGGGAGGTTTCCAGACACAGTCGTTCTTCAAATAAAGACATCAAGGAGCATGGTTTAACTCAATTCCGTAGTGTCTGCGTATTTTCTTCCTATTTTTTAAATTGAAAAATCAACAATAGTGCCCAATTCATGGTTCTCACTTTGGCGCTCTCCTTCAATTTAATTTTCTCAGATTTTCCCCCCAAAAATATTTCGGCTCTTGTAGAATAAAACTGATTGACAATATATTATATGTATACATATATAATGTATATACATATATATATAATATATAATGTAATATATAAAATAATACATATAAATAATATATACATAAATGGCTGTAAAGCGCATAGAGCATGCTCTTGAGCATGGATATGCGCTATATAAATGCAATTATTATTATTATCATTATTATACATATATATATTTATATATGTATATATTTATATATCATAAGTATATATATTGGTCAGGATGAAAAATTTTCCCTGATTTTCCCCCAAAAAATATTTCGGCTCTTGTAGAATAAAACTGATTAACAATATATTATATGTATACATATATAATGTATATACATATATATATATATATAATATATAATGTAATATATAAAATAATACATATAAATAATATATACATAAATGGTTGTAAAGCGCATAGAGCATGCTCTTGAGCATGGATATGCGCTATATAAATGCAATTATTATTATTATTATTATTATTATTATTATTATTATTATTATTATTATTATTATTATTATTATTATTATTATACATATATATATATTTATATATATTTATATATGTATATATTTATATATCATAAGTAAATATATTGGTCAGGATGAAAAAAGGGGGAGGGCTGTATGATGGTTTTGAGATGGGGCGCTCTGAATGGCACTGTGTGTGTTTGTGGGGAACGGGGGTGCCGTGGGGTTGACAGGGGTAAACAGAAAGACACACAGACAGAGTTAGGCAGACAAGCGAAGTACAGATGTCTGTTTCAGAACTATTAGAGACACGAATGAGCTGGGAACGTACTAACGAATAAAGTGAATATTATATCACCTTCCTAAAAATGAATTTTAAAAAACGTTTAAAGGTTGTTTTTAAAATAATATATTGTATATAAGGAGCGGGATGTGGACACATGACGGGGGGGGGGGTAGCCAGAGAGACGGACAATACGGGTGTATAGGAGAGAGAGAGACAGAGAGAGAGGGGGGAGAGAGAGATGGGGGAGAGAGACAGAGAGAGACAGAGAGACAGAGAGACAGAGAGACAGAGAGACAGAGAGAGAGGTGGGGTGGGGGGAGAAAGAGAGAGGGGGAGAAAGAGATAGGGGAGAAAGAGTGACAGAGAGAAAGAGAGAGAGAGAGAGAGAGAGAGAGAGAGAGAGAGGAGTGAGAGAGAGGGGGGAGAAGAATGAGAGAGAGGGGGAGAGAGAGAGAAGGGGCGGGGAAGAAATAGAGAGGGGTATGAGAATAATAAATTAACCCAAAGCTGTACCAAAAACATTTTAGAATGGACGCACCAATCCCATCGAGTATTGTAACGTTTTAGTGAAAAGAAATAATTATTGATAATCATCAATGACTTCTAATTATGGTTTTTCAAAAATTCTGAACTTAGACTGTATTTCTGAGTGAGGGGGAGGGTTGCTTTTTTATGAATGCTTCTGTTGCTGCCATTACTGTTATTGTTGTTTTCGTTATTGTTATTGTTGTTGTTGTTGTTGTTGTTGTTGCTATTGTTCTTCTTCTTCTTGTTGTTGCTGCTGCTATTGTTATTGCTGATGTTGTCCTTGTTGTTGTTGCTGTTGTTGTTGTTGCTGCTGCTGCTGCTGTTGATGACAGTTGCTCCTGGGGAAGCCTACGTGGCGAAACGTCGTGCCGGCTCAATAAAACAAATTTTAAACATTTTATATGTATATATCTTTTTGTCTGTAAATCAAGCAAGACTCTCCCTCCTACTCTGCTTTTTAAACACTGATGATGAGATGATGATGATGATGATGATGATGATGATGATGATGATGATGATAATGATGATGATGATGATGATGATGATGATGATGATGATGATGATGATGATGATGATGATTCCCATTTACTGTTTGGTTTGTTTCGGGTTGGTTTTTGTATTTTTGTGGGGCATGGGGGGAGGAGGGGGGATAGAGATGGTTAATGGATAAGATTTGAGGATCAGGTCCACTTGTTTTCTAGAGCAGGCTTTTATTGTTGTTGTTGTGTTTGCTTATTTCTTTTCTTAACGACAATAGCTTGGTTTTGTATTTGGTTGGTGTTTTATTAGATAGATAGATAGATAGATAGATAGATAGATAGATAGATAGATAGATAGATAGGCGTGCCCACACATACTCACGCACGCACGCACCACACACACATACACACATACATACACACATACACATATACGTACATACGCACACATGCAAATACAAACTCACAACGATCTACAGCTTGGATGGATTCTGTCTAATCGAAATATGATGAAAATAGAAATGCTTTTAGTTTCTTCTTTAAAATTTCTAGACTTTCTGCTTCTCTGATAGTTTTTGGAAGCCTATTCCAAGCAATAGATAGATAGATAGATAGATAGATAGATAGATAGATAGATAGATAGATAGATAGATAGATAGATAGATAGATAGATAGATAGACAGATATTATAAACGCACACAGTACCACAATATCGTGACGGTATGTGTACACTATAATTATAATATTATTATTTTATAATATTTATCAAAAAGCTCAAAGAGCTGATGAGAAAACACTCAGAAATGAGGAATTCTTCAAAATCGAAATACAGGAAATTCCATTATGGTCCAGATCAGTTGTCGCTCCTCTTTGTAGGGCTTTCAAGTACCTAAGATGACTTTGACCAGGTAGGTGAGAGAAATATCTAATACGTCACTGGCTAATTAACCCCCTTCGGCTGTTCTCTCGAGCAGTCACGAATTTGTATATATCCGGAATACTTCACCTATGCGTGGGTATTACCTCCACAATTATTTGTGAGGCAGCGTGGTGGAATCAGGCTCCCGTCAAAATAATCAAAGTGAAGAAACTTGCATTTTTCCACGGATTTGTGAATTTTTTTCAAATTTTTTGTTTTTAGGCTCAACACCTTTCATGCCCATTAAAGAACTCATTTCTGAGTGGATTTTTCTGAAAAAGTTTTGATTAAAGGCATAAAAAATGTAAATCTTCAGTTACCACGGACTCTTAAGCTAAGGAAATAAATAATCTTTGGCGGCCATTTTCTCACGAATTTTGCCTCTGAAAAAAGGTGACCCCCACCTCCTTCTTTTGCAAATACCTCGACTTGTATTCAAGATAAATGGATATGTTTTTGAAATCCAAAAAAAGAAAAGTGAACAAGCTTTAAGATGATACCAATAACTTTACATGCTCAAAAATTGACGAGAGCCTGATTCCACCACGCTGCCTCACATTTGGTGTCGGCGCAAAGATTTCTCGGAAGATCAAAGCGGGACAGCGCTCCCCTCAATGAGCTCGCGACAACTGTCCAACAAGCAAGCGGGCTTTTTTTTTCCTCAGCCCGCGCGGGTGTTGAAGTTTCGCCCGCGGCAACAAGCCCAGCCCGGAGGGAAGACACGATGACGTACTGAAGTCACGTGACGCTGCGTGGAGCGAAGCCGGGGGTTCCAACACCTCCCTCCCTCCCTCCCTCCCCCCGTGCCTTTGAGGTTTATGTGGGTGTTGGAGTGTCGGAAAGTTTCCGCATAAATACGCCTGATTTCTTTCGATCGTCATCAAGAAGGGAAGTGGAAGTAGCAAGGGTGTGTGGTAGGTGACTTTCGGGACTGGGATTACCTGACAATTTCAACAGTTTGGGAACAATTTCTTTTGATACAACGAGACGTAGTAGACCGAAGTAAGTTTGATTCATTTTTTTAAATTGGTATTTTATGTAGTTGCTTTGTGTTCGTAAGCAAACTTATATAATAGCCAGTTTGTATTTATAATGAAAACTGCACTAGTAAAACCACAAAGCTGTTTTCAAGACATTTTACATTATTTATTTGACAAAAGAATCATATTCGGTGCACCTTAAGGGGAGTTGGCCGTTTACAATTTTATGTACTTTGACCTATTTAAGAGGTATGTTTGCTTAGAATAAATGTTTAACCCATTTTATGATGTGGCTTATATCATACAGAGTGGGTGTATTTGTTTTGAACTTGCGTGAATGCTTTTCTGTGTTGACGTTGGTTCGAAGTACAAATGGTCGCTTTTAAGGACAAGCGGGCTAACTCATATTTCGAGGGTTTCCAAAAATCTTGACGTACACCAAAAGTGGGCATTGCCCTACCTATAGGAGAAGTTTGGTTTCATTGGTGTGTATATGTGTTTGATTAGAGAGAAAACTATCCTTGTCTTTTAAAGAGACTGAATAAGGATCCAAAAACTTTAACTTCGATTATCTCAAAACAGCTTTTATCAGGATAGCCCCCTTGTGTTTAAAAGCGTCCAATTCATTCTGTAAAGCCTGATAAAGAAGCAGGTTGTTCAGGGAGAAGCCCTTGCTCTCTGAGGGACTGCCTGTGGGTACATTTGTGAATGGGGACCGAGTCATAGATAGCGCAAGATATAGACAGTATGTTATATAAAAGAAGTTTTTTACCATCTAGCATAAGGCTTTTTCAGAATGAGCATAGATGTGTGTTGCTTTTTAGAGTATGTATCTATATATAGCTCCAAAGGTCTTATAATTAAATTCCTGCATGTGGTTAAATGATGCATCTGATGTGATACGTACATTTTGCCAGCGTTACTTCTCTTTTCATATTGAATTTTAATGAGAATAATGTATAATTTAAATTGTTTCTGTATACCTGCATGTGTTTTTACGGTCCTGTACAGCCAAGAAAAATTTCCCTCTGGAATAATAAAGTATTATCTTACCTTATCGTATCTTATCTTATCTTATTGTTTTAGCGTCTGTAAAATGGAAGCTTACACTGCGTGCTTCCAACCAAGCTGAGATTGTTTCAGGATGATGCACGGTCTGCCGGGGTAATAATACAGATTGTTAAGGGGGAAAAACTTGCTGTTGAGAGGGAATTTGCGCTATAAAAATCCTATAATATTAAATTATATTATTATTATTATTATCATTATTATCATTATTTTTTTTTTATTATTATTATTATTATTATTATTATTATTATTATTATTATTATTATTATTATTATTACACTTGGTTGGAAGTAATAATGGAGGGCGTGTCGAAAAGTTTTGCTGTTCCAGTTGTTAGTTGTTTTGTTTTGTTTTGTTTTAAGTGTGTGTGTGTGGGGGGGGGGGGGGGGTAGGTTACATTTATAATAATGTATGTCTTTGTTTTAAGCTTGTTGTCGATTGACTCTTTGTTTTTAACTTTGGGGAATAGGAAAATTCCTTCGACTTTACTGTATCTGGAGATACGTTTTCAACAAGTACTTGTCAGCCTTTCTATAGCCAGCGCCCACTTCAAAATAAGATAAAATAAGATGATTCTTTATTATCCAAGAGGGAAATTTTCCATGGCTGTACAGGGCCGTAAAAACACATGCAGGTATGCATAATAATTTAAATTATACATTAATCTAATTAAAATTCAATATGAAAAGGGAAGTAAAGCTGGCAAAATGTATCAATCTCATCAGATGTATCATTCAACCACATGCAGGAATTTAATTACAAGACCTTTGGAGTAATATAGGTACATATTCTAAATAGCAATAAACATCTATGCTTATTCTATATCTTTATTTCTTTGTTTTTAGAGGTACATATCTGCCGCTGCGTGATCTGCGTGGGAAGTGGGTGTGACGGGTCATTCATATTGTTATGCTTTTTAGCTTTTTATAACCGTCTTTTTAGCTTTTTATAACCGTCTTTTTAGCTTTTTATAACCGTCTTTTTAGCTTTTAATAACCGTCTTTAACAGGCGTAATTTCTCGTTCCACCCACCTTCACACTATGTATTTCTAAGTGAGATATTAAATAACACCTCTTACTCCTCTGGGGATCACGAACTCCCGCTAACATTACCAATCAATGTGTCACGACGTGGTAGAATCATGCGCTCGTCAATTTTTTGGGCCTGTGAAGTTATTGGTATCTTCTGAAAGCTTGATCATTTGCCGCATTGCTTTGAGTGAACAAAATACGTATCTATTTTCAGTAGAAGTCGAGATATTTGCAATTAAAGACGGTAGGGTTGCCTGTTTTCAGTGTTTAAATTAATGAGAAGATGGACGCCAAAGTTTGGTAACTTCAATAACTTAAGAGTCCTTGAAACCTGAAGAATGAGTATTTGGTGCTTTTAAACAAGGTTTTTCCGTAAAATTCACTTAGAAATGTGTTTTCATATGAATACAAGAGGTATTTAGACAAAAAAACAAAATTCCGATATAAATTGCCACGATGGAGGAAAATGCCTTTTTCTTCCCACTTCGTCATTTTGACAAGCGAGTGATTTCACCACGATGCCTCACAGAATAGCTCACCAGTAGGCAATACCGCCAAGGTTGGCAAGTAAGGTACTTAATTATTCGCAAGAAGCGAGAACAACTAACTGGTCTGTTTGTTTTGATAAATGTTTTACGGCGCTCGCAACTGCATAAGGTCATATTATATGAGCGCGCGGGACACAAGTATTTTCAGTTTGGAAGGAATCAATTTTGTAATTTTCCTAGGAGGCGGCCGAAGCCTACTCTTATCAATTTTAGAACCACTGAAGGATTTTAAACGTGTGCAACTTGCACTCAGAACCTCCGAAATTGTTTTCGCCCTTATCCGAGAAGGCTAAGTGTTATAACTTATCTACCCTTAGATCAGGGGTGTGGCTAAAACACTGTAATAAGAATTATATAAGGTTTAGCTATAAAAAGAGCCAGGATCCCCAAGAGAGAAGGAAAAAAAAAGGGGGGGGCACAAGGTGGAGATGAAAGCAGATGACAGAACGTGATTAGAGAGCAGAAAAGGATGTGAAAGGAGACGAAACATGTGTGCAAGTTGCGCACATTAAAGATCCCTTGGTGGTCGAAAATCGATAAGAGTACGCTTCAGCCGCCACCGGGGAAAAATTCAAAATTTTGGTATGTCCTGCGCGCTCAATAAGACCTTATGCAGTTGCGAGCGCTGTAAAACACTTACCAATTTTTTTTAAAAGGAGACGAGAAATTTGTAGGATGGAAAATTGTCCGTCGCAGTCAGGTTTCGAACCGGGACCTATGAAATGAGAGGCTAACACCGTACCCCGAGAGCCCCCACAACTAACTAGTTAAAGAGAACTGAAGCTGATGCTTGCAGAGACTACCCCTTGTTCATCAATCGTTTGTCTTCTGGTCTAATTCCTCCCCTTCCATGGAGTCGGGTCTTTGAAACATAAGACCAAATTAAATTGTAGTTTTGGATCGTGCCTTAAAGTAATTTCTAGTGTTTTCTCACCAGTTTCTGCAATAATGGAGACGTTTAAAAAAAACTTATACATGAGAGCATTAACACACTCGCACACGCTCACACACACACACACACACACACACACACACACACATACACACACATACACACACACATA